ATTATCTGCAGGAACACATGACCAGTGGTCAGCAGTTACCCATCATGCCGAAACTCAAAACCAAATCAATTAATGACCTTCAGTCTGCGTTCAGTCTGTCACGCTGATGACCCTGATGAAAAAAAACAGCCTAAAGTGGCTTACAGAGTTTAGCTGGTTGACAAATGCCCATCAAACTAAAACTGTAGACCAACTAAAACCAGCAAACCACCTAGGTGATTTTTTTTCAGCAGGAATGATTCACACCTTTCAACACAAACACCATATGCTGCTTTGAATGTTTTAACACTGTATTATAATTTTTTTATATATAACCAATTAATCTGAAAAATAAGCAGTTCAGTGTGTTGTAAAAAGATGTGAAGTTTCTTTAAGCTCTTGTACTGATGCAGAAACATCTCAAATTCTCATGACATCAATGATCATGATCAAAGCATCATCAGGGCTGCATGAACTTGGCATCTGCTCTCACAATATTTCTGATCAGCTGATGTCAAGTTTCTTACATTCAGACAGATTCAGCCACATATAATTTATGACATAACTGAGATGTAAATACAGTTTGTCTTTGTGATATTGTGGCCCATTAAGCTGTAGAATATTTGCATTTTAATAAGAGATAGATAAGATAGACAGACAGACAGATAGATATTAATTTATGAAAATGTTATTAATTTATAAATGCATGAGGCTCTCTTTAGAAACGTAGCAAGGAAATCGATAAAATAGTCCATGTGACATCAGTGGTTCAACCGTAATTTTACAAAGCTACAAGAATATTTTTTCAGCAAAGAAAACAAAATATACAAATAAAATCACGGTTGAACCACTGAAGTCACATGGACCATTTAAACAATGTGTCATATTAAATGTCTTTACTATGTTTCTGTGTCTTGAACATGGTAGGACCCTTGCTGTCTATGAAGGGTAAGAAAGCTCTCAGATTTCATAAAATAAAATCTTAATTTGTGTTCCAAAGACAAACAAAGGTCTTGCGGGTTTGGAATGACACGAGGGTGAGTAATTAATGACAGAATTTTAATTTTTGGGTGAACTATCCCTTTAAATCCTCGAGCTCTGTAAAAAAATTAATAAAATAAAATGTAAAAAAAAAAAAAAACACACCCGTTTACACCAAGAATGATAACCATATTAGCACACATCAACTGACTTTGGTATAACGCTGTTTATTATGAGCGCACTGCAGTTTTATCATCCATAAATGCACTAGCTCTTTAAAGCAGGATGGATTCTGATTGGCTGTCGATGTTTTTAACGTTCATCAGCTGAAAATAAAAATCGTTCTGAAAGTTATTCCAATATCGTTCCTCTGTATCGTTATCGTTATGGTTGGACGTCTTTCATACTTTTCTGGACCTTGACAGTGTAAGTTACTTGGCAGTCAATGGGACAGTCACAAGCCTCCCGGTTTTCATCCAAAATATCTTAAATTGCGTTCCGAAGACGAACAAAGCTTTTACGAGTTTGGAACGACATGGGGGTAAATGATTAATGACAAAATTTTCATTTTGGGGTGGAGTAACCCTTTAATACTACGTATATATTTATCGTAATTGTTATAGCCCTTGGTGTGAATGGACCTTCAGATTCTTCAAACTGTAAATCACAGGGAAAATTTTTTAAATTTAATACATTTTTAAAATATATTAAAATACAAAACATGTATTTTAAATTGTAATGCTATTTCACAATATTACTATTTTTACTGTATTTGTGATCAAATAAATGCAGCCTTGTTAAACAGAAAAAAACTTCTTTCAGAAACACTGAAATGTGGAATGTTCCCAAACTTTTGAACAGTAAATCCACAGCTGAAAATAATTAATATGATATATATTTATATATGATATATATGATTATGATATATATATATATATAATTAAAATGTCAAAAAAATAAAAGTGTTTCTTATAACCATGATTCTTCTCGAAAACACTACAACGGACATCATCAAGCATAATTTCAGATTAATTCATTCTTTTCTGAATAAGCTGGAAAACAAATCCTCACACAGACCATGCAGAGAAACATTCATGCACAGACCAGAACATGTAAAACATTTCTGGCTGATCATTGTGATGTAAAGCAAACTGATCATGCAAACAAACACACAATATGGATTTACCTGATTGGTGTTACCCTCGTTTGGAACTGTAGGCCCCGCCCCATTCACAGCCCCGCCCATGTCAGAGCCCCACCCCTTCAATGCGTGTCACTAGCCCACAGTAACAGACCTCAGTCAGAGATCAAAGATGTCATCTGAACCCATTCCTTTAATTCATTTCTGTAACATCAGAAACATTCTAAGCGGTCAGTTTTGGATTCACGCCATACACCAATACGGTCTCATTTCCATCTCAATTTGAACTCATCTGAAGCATTCAGGGTGAGAGAGGAACAAGCATTTTCGCTCTTATACTTTCAAAAATATGTTTTACAAAACAGAAGAAAAACAGCATTAAACGAAGGCTGAAACAAAACGCAGTTCGTTCTCTCCAAACACAAGGAACAGAACCTGAGATCTGAAGATCAACATTCAAAACTGAAAATACAAAAGGAAAATACAATATTCAGATCAGGCACAGAGTCATTCAGCTCTCAAGTGTTTCTCCTTGGCGAAAGATATCAAAGGTGTCCATTGATATCAAGGAGTTCTCGTTTTGTTCTTTTAGTTGTTTTTTTGGCAGAGTGAATCAACATTAAAAAAATGAATAAAAATGCAAAACATAAAATCAAATAAAAAATCATGGCAATTGATTTTGATGCCCAGAGTGAAGCATCTGAGTCCATGTCAGGGTCGATCTGAAATGTTTTATTGGATCCACTGGGTCGTTTTGAGTTTTCAGGCACCTGTGTGTGTATGTGTGTGTGTTTCTTTGGCATGTGGTTCGTCCAGCATTGAAAAGCGGCTGGAATCAGACTCCAAACACTTACACGAATCATGCATTAACATGTTACACACTCAGCACGAATACAAATGATACAATCAGGCACAGAACCGAATGAACAAACGATTCAAACGAAGAGCTAAAATACAGATGAACTCACACAAACAGTGAACATGCAGCATGAACGACGAACAGCCCTTCAACAACAATTATTGCAAACGTTTAGCTGCATTGGGCCCGTTAGATACGGACAGGGGCCGCAGTCAACCTCGCCCTGATCTTTGGCCAGCTCCGGGTCTGGAGGAGGCACGGGCGTCTGTAGGGTGTCCGTACTGGACTCACCAGAGGGCGGCCCGCAGTCGTGTCCGGCACTCTGCTGTAATATAGTCAGGCACTCGCCAAGGCAGCTCAGGGTGGCGGCAGAGGTGGCTTTCAGCAGCAGCAGGTCATGATCCAGACAGGACAGGGATCCTCGCATCGGCAGAGACTCGATGGACTGGACCAGACTCTTCTGCTGACCCTCGGCCTGGTTCATAACCTGAAGAAATGAGGAAGGAGCTTTACTGCGGTCGACCGGCAAGCGGCGCCATTCAGCTACACTCTTAAAAATAAAGGCTCTTTATTGGCATCAATGGTTCTATGAAGAACCTTGAACATCTGTGGAACCTTGCAAATGCAGAAAAGGTTCTTTATAGTCAAAAAAGGTTCTTTAGATTTTTCAAATGTACTTCAAAATGGTTCTTTTAGGGACTGTTCACTGAAAGGTTCTCTGGGGAACCAAAAATGGTTCTGCTATGGCATCACTGCAAAAACACCCTTTTGGAACCTTTATTTTCAAGAGTGTACATAACTAACTAGAACACAACCCTTGGGATTAAACTGGTACAAATATCATCAAAAAACTACCAAGTCTGTTTCTATAATAAAACACTGATTCTGATGTAAGATTTTTTTTTTTTTAAGAAATTAATACTTTTATTAATGAAGGATGCATAAATGTCATTAAAGATGACATTTATGATGTTGCAAAATATTTATATTTTACATAAATGCTGTTCTTTTTGAGTTTTCTATTCATCAAAGAATCCTGAAAATTTATATAAATTTCCACAAAACATGAAGCAGCACGACATTTCCACATTTATAATAATAAGAAATGTTTCTTGAGCAGCAAATCAGCATATTGGAATGATTTCTGAAGGATCATGTGACACTGAAGAAGACTGAAGTAATGATGCTGACAATTCAGCTTTGCATCACAGAAATAAATTCTATTTTCAAATATATTCAAATAGAAAACAGCTACTTTTACTGTTTTTACTGTATTTATAATCAAATAGCCCTAAATGTGGTCTTGGTGAGCAGATGAGACTTCTTAGCACATTATTGTAAAGCATCTTAGTATCATAATTTTTAATCAGATCTTTCTCCACCTCTGAAATGCCTGATGTAATTGAGGGCCTGAAATCAAAGCGGTAAAGTTTCCGCTGTGGTTGATGCAGATGATCACACGAGCCGTGTGTCGACAGAAGTGACGGACAAGGTATTAATGTTTCAGCTGACGCAGGACTTATTTAATTCTCTAAATGATGCTCTGGCACAGAAATAAAGTGGTTCCCAACCCTGGTGCTGGAGGCACCCCAACACTGCACATTTTTAATGTCTCCTTAATTAAACACACCTGATTCAGGTCATCAGCTCATTAGTAGAGACTCCAAGACCTGAAACTGGTGCGTCAGAGAAAGGAGGCATGCTAATTGTGCAGTGTTGGGGTGCCTCCAGGACCAGGGTTGGGAACCACTGCAATAGAGCTCAAACTGGCACAGTTTATATGAGGAGAAACATCTCTGTGATGCTTCTTTATGCTCGGAGCTACAAAACCAGCTCAGTTGGTTCCTTAGAGATGTTTCCGGAGAAAGTCGGTGTGAAAATGCAGTATTCACAGTCATGCATTTGGCAGATGCTTTTATTCAAAGCATCTTACATTTGATTTTATTACATTTTAATTACTTTTATTTAATTTTATTTATTCATTACATTTTATTCAAGATAATAATCTTGACAATAAAAAAATTGGCGACAAAAACTTCAGTTGTCGAATAGTCGTTTGATCTCATTACCTAAAATAAGGACCTGCAATAACGCGATTTGACCAGTGTGGCGCTGTAGCGCAACACTCTAATTCAGCTCTCCAGGCTGTAATCCAATAGAAGACTAGGGATGGGCGATACACCTTATTTTGTTTTCGATACGATACCGATATTTTTCAAGGCAGTATCGTCGATATCGATACCGATTCGATACTTCTGCACTAATCTTTTAAATTATGGAATTTATTAAATTATTAAATTACTAAGAGTAAAATGGGTAATGAAAACCACTTAACTTTATGTTTAAAACGCATTTTAACCTGTTTAATTCCACATTTTTCCCAGACATCCAAAATGATGTGTCATTAATAACCCTTTGAAATAATCAATAATTTTTATTTTTTTGGTAAATAAAACGCACCTTAGTATCGATATTTTTTGTTTGAGTATCGATACTTTCGATACTCGCGTCAGTATCGATATATCGCTACTTCGGATCGAATACAAACGAAGCAGAACCAGTAGAGTGAGGGTACGCGTTACAATACTACAAAAAAATGTGTTGTCATGTTTAAAGGCGGATATAGCCTACTCACAGTGAAGTTTTCGAGGTAAAAAGTTCTGTATAAGTTACAAAAGCAGCGTTTAACTGTTAGCGAACATCCGCATCCTGCTGAGAGCAGCGTTTAGATGAATATGCAAATGCAATTTCCCCTCAATAACAAAATAAAACAACTAAAATGCTAGTAGTGAGAAAACAGCAGTTAAGAAAGCATCTGATCATAGCCACGTGGATATATTTGCAACAGCTCTGCAATTCATCACGTCACGTTTATTTATATAACTCTTTATACAATAGATATAGCTATAAAGCAAGCAGCTTTACAGTATTAAACGCGCACGCGCGCGCACACAAAAAGCATTGTCAGTTGTTGCTTTCCATTACAATTACAACATGATTTTCTCCTATAAAGCAGCTCTCCAGTAATAATTTGATTTGCACAGATTAAAGCTTGATCCAGCTCACATAATTTGACTATATGTTTGATTTTGTCTCACTATTGGAACTAATTAATTTCTTATGCTCTGTTAAATTCCTTTGAATTTCAATTCAGTTATTCCCTCTTCCAAAGTCCAATTCAACATTCTGTGAAATGTGACAAATTCTGTTCACATTCATGGACATTAATTGAAAGGAGCACACACACACACACACAAACACACAAATGTATTTAAATTGCATTTAAAATTTTGTTCATTAGATTACACAATTTTAACATAATGCTTTTATTTGAACATAACCAAATAAACTCAAGGTGATGCATAGCCTACTTGTCAGTCATACATAAATGAAACAGGTCAGATTTCTGCTCTCAAAAAAAAAAATTATGCCATAGTTTAATATTAACTAGGTTATTTGCAGTTATTTGATTTAATTTAAATAATCATATTTTCAAAATGCATTTATTTAAATTGTTTGGAATCAGCATAAATCTGTTTATTGTGAAAACAATTACATTTATTCAGTTTAAAGTATGAGCATGGTTCAAATATGGCTAACTGTGGAACAAGTAATATTCAGTCAGTTAAAATGTATGAGATTGAAACAAATTAGAAAACTGTTTTTATTTATGTATGACTGACAAATATGCATAATATTACGTTTATTAGTTTGTTAAACTGTGTCATCTTAATGGATGGAAATTGTTTACCCAATTTAAATACATAAATCTTAAATTATTTTAATAATATTTTTAAATGTTCTTTAATTCTGCATTAGATCAGACAGAAGATTCATGATGGTCTGTTATTATCCTCCATCAGTCCAGTGTTTGAGGTGTGTGTGTCTGACCTCTTTGACATCCAGGAGGCGCTCTGGGTACTGGTTTCTGGCCCGGCGGGCGGCTGCAGGCGACTTATGGTGCGTGATGGTAACGATGTTGCTCTGAGGCCCATGGTGAGGGAGATGTCTCTGAGATGCAGGAGAGGAAGACGGAGGGAGGTGAGGAAGCAGAGAGAAACTCCGCGTTCGGCCCGACGAACCCTGAGACACACAGAGAGAGATGGTAAAAAAAAAAACTTCCCATTCACAGATACACATAATACAGTCTAACGAGCAGTGCATGCAGAATTACAGCTTCATTCACACCGCAATCACACCGCAGAAAACAGACCTTCACACGACTGCTAAATACACTAAAGCATCAGAACTACACAGATAAAATGAATGTCTTAAAAGATAAAAAAAGAGCCTGATATATTATCAAAAAATACTGAAACCTTCAAATATCCTAGTTAATGCATTAACATATACAACTAATTAAATGATGATTAAATCAGGGATATTATCATTAAATAAAACAAACAAAAAAAAATATTTCTTGAAATAAAATAAATGTTAGCTGAAGTAAAATATATTAAGCTAGTTGCCAAGGAAACATTTCTCATTTTCATTTAGTTTCAGCTCAAGTGCTTTATGCCAAGTATTTTATTCAATTTTCAAACTCGTCGGATCGCCGTTGTTTTCACACTGCGTGACTATCTGGGGTAGCATTCAGTTGCTGCTGTGTTCACACTGCACGATGGATCAGCGACGGGGTTTCACACTGCATGACTTCACAATAGGAAGAATTGCCGACAGCTCTGTCTGGTGCAGGGTTGCCAGATTTTCGCTACAAAACCCGCCCAATTACTACTCAAAACTAGCCTGAAAATAGCCCAATTGCTTTCGAGGGGGTCCCCCAGTAAAAATCGCATTCGGGGGTAAAATACAAATTTATTTGGCGGGGTTCTCCTGGTACAATTCACGTTCCAGGGCCTAAATATCACTTATTGGGGCCGCTTCAACCTAATGACATAAAAAACAACCGGCAGCAATCGCGGATTTGGCAACACTGGTCCGCAAACTATGTTTTCTATAACTCCTCCCCGAACTTCCCGCTGCCCTGTATCTTGGTCTCTCATTGGCTGTAGGTCATCGCCGATGTGTTTTTCAGTCAGAACTCATTTCACACAGCGTGATTGTGAATCGCCGACAGCTCCAGATATTTAGCATGCCAAATATTTTGAGTGCGTCGGCGATTCCCTCCAATCACGTCTTTGATAATTCACACTGTGTGATTGTCACTCATGTGAACGAGCACCGATTTGCCTCCGATTTTGGGGCATTTTTCAGCGATTTCGCAAAACCTGTCGGCGAGTGAAAAATCGGGCAGTGTGAACTCGCCATTAGTGAAATCAGCTGGATGAGTTCATGAGTGGAATAAACATATGGCAGGACTTTTAGGCCATGTCCACACGTACACGGGTATTTTTATAAACTGAGTTTTTCCTTCTTCCGTTTTTAAAAAAATCTCCGTCCACATGAAAACACAAACGCATGCTATGAATCACTGTCAAGAGCATGCCAAACCAACAGGTGGCGATATAATCTCAATCGTAAAGCCATGTTGGCCAATCAGAAGCCTGAAAAAGTCTCCAG